GACTCTCATAATACAATAGTCCTTTATGCAATGTAAAATATCATCATCACCCATTTGTAGTATTACCAATTTATTAATAAAACTATATTGAGAATTTTCTAAGAATACTCTAAAATCCCTTTTTTCAATTTTTAAATTCAAACTTATGTAATCTAATTTAGAAGGGAGAATTTGTCCTAGATTTTTTAATATGATTGAACTACTAATTGGTGAACGTATTTTGATTGAAAGATAATTGAGATTTTGTTTAATATTTTCAATTGAATTGATTTTTTGATAAGTAGAATTCTTATTTTCATCATACTCAGTAAAATAAAGAAAATTGATATTATTACAATAGTTTATTAATTGTGATATATCATGATTAAAATAATAAATTTCACGCCCGCCGAAATTTTCTAAATAATCACCAGATTTTAGTAATAATTGTTGTAATGACTCAAATTGTGGTATCTCATTTAAAATTAAAGATTTTAATTTAAATGGTTTAGTTAAATTAATAATTTGTTGAATAAAATTACTATTCAAAAATGAACAATAAATAATATGAACAGATTCTAAAACATTTAATTGTTCAAATATTTTATCAAGATTGTTCATTAATTTTAATTTAATTTGATATAAAATGATAGTATTTAAAGTATTTGAACAATTATGATCTTTTGATGATAATAATGATTGATATAAAGATAAATCATTAATACTTAAGTTAAATAAGAAAATTTTTTTAAGATTTTGATGTGAATGAATTATTTGCGATATATGATTATTAATTACCGTATTTTCTTCATATTTGTAGATATGAAGTTTCAAATTTTTAACGTTTTGAATAAAATTTTGATTTTGTAAAATTAACTCAAGATTATTATCAAGATATGTATCATATTTACTATTACCTGAAATCTCAATTTCAAGAGTATTTAAATTTACTTCATTTTCAATAAAAATTTTAAAGAATGACATATGAACTAATCTCTTAAATTTTTTTTCAGAATCATATAATATATTTTCGGGTTTTAAATTATAAATAGCATTACCTAACCATGTTTCAACAAATAAAATAAAATTATGTGTATTCAAATATTTTAAAAACTTGAGATAATCAAACAGCAACATATTCTTTGAAGGTATTAATGAATTATTAATAATTTTATATTCATATAATTTCATTTTAAAATCATCATTTAAATTATTCAAGTAAATTTTAATAATTTTAATAATTATATGGATAAAGGTACAAATCAAAAATGGTTCCTCCCATAATAATGGAATTGCTAAACGACACCATAATCTGTTTACTAAAATACATGAATATAAAGTTGAAAAATCTTTCTGAAAATATTTTATAACATCATATGTTAATTCAGGTAAATCTCCTGAAAATATTTTTGAACATGACATTTTTGTAATTGAAAGTGAAAAGTTAGGTTTTCGGAGCAATGATTCCAATATTGTCGCACAATTCATACAATTAATGTTGGCTAATTATGTGTAACATGTTTCAAAAATTAGGTGCAACTTTAACATAACATAACACTAGCCGGATTATATGATCGGCATATAAATCTCGCTTTTTTAAATTTTTGGTTAACGTCACGGTCGTAAGGTTACACAGAATTTATTTATTTAGATGATCTACACATTTTTTTAAATTTTCAAAAATTAGGAATTTAACATGGAATCACTAAACGATACATAATCTACCGACTAAAATGCATATATTTAATGTTGAAAATCATTCTGAAAAATTTTAAAATTTTATGATTCACAAGTTAATTCGGACAAATCTTCTGAAATATTTTTGAGTATGATATTGTAATAAGTGAATTTGTATTTCATTTATTATTTTCTAAATGATGATCTCTTACAGTAACGACTGATAATACATATGATTTCTTGAAGCAGAATAGTACTAAAAGCAATACTTGTTGCGATTTGTGCTAAACTGCTAATATCAGCCAATAATTCAAAAATAATCAGATTACAGCAAGAATTACAGTATTACCAGATTTTATGTCAGAAATTTTAAAAGTGTCCGAAATTACTTTTCAAGCAATTTTGAACGCTACAGAACAATTTGACCTTGCGTTTACGTAAGTTTGTTTTTTGAGAGGCTACGACTTCTTTACCATCTCATAAGTACTGTACGTCCAAGGAAAATCGGAGACTGTCGACAATGCTTCAAAATTCAAATCCTTTGTATATTCTGCAGATTCGTATGCCCACTGAAAAAATTTTTTGAGGTTTTTTTAATCTAAAAACTCTCTGGAGACGTCTAATCACTGTCATTTCCTAGTAATATTATTTTTATTCATTCTTTCAAATCTTGCAAATTTATAATTCTCACGAAAATTCCATCTTTGTAATTTCATAATTTGTTGCATCAATATGAGAAGATTTAAAAATTCATCGAACCTACAAATAAAAAATTTTTTACATTTAATGTGTTAATTAAACAACCCATTTTAAATAGAAACTATTGCCTTCACTTCCAAATTTATTTTCTCGTTCTGATTTGCCTAACTTTGCGATTGTAAATTTTTAACCATTCTTTTTGAAAATTCCGTCTTTTTTCGAAAGATGTACCTTTTTAAAATTTGTCTATTAACATTTGGGTTAATCATTGGTATCTATTTTTCATTAGAAACTTTCGTTTTGGAAATATAGTTTAACAAACATTTTATAATACGTTAAAAAAAATGATACCTTTTATATATTATATGATATATATATCTATATACGTATATACAAAAAATTTGTCGGAAGAAAATCCGTAAAATTTTTGGAAAATAAGGAATTCACGGTACTATTTTCACTGATAATAAATAATAAATAATAAAATAAATGAATTATAATGAATAAATTCTTACATAATTTGCATTACAATCATGAGATGGTTCCGTTCTCTAACATATAAGAAGGTAGAATTCTACAGCTAACTCATGAAAGCCTATAAAAATTTTAGTGATAGTAATAAATAATAATGAATGGGCCAGATGAAATCAATAGTTCCTCGTAAACATTATTAATGTTACTTTGACGATTGATTATAATGTTAATGTTTGAAAGAAAGTCCAAAAATTTTTCTTGAAAATAAAACGTAAATCACTCATCTTTCAAGATCAGTCATGCCTTGATAGTCTAATTATACAAGGTAAAATAAGTTATTAGAGTATTCTTGTTTTCTTTAATAAAATAAATCACCCTAAAAAATAATGATTTTATATGGCTAAGCTGAATTAGGCGAATTACAGTAGGTGTGCTACAAATATCAGATTAATTAACGAGTATATGTAATTTGGACGGAACATTCTTTAAAAATAATTTCTCAAATCTATCGTTTTAACTATCAATCCTGTGCGATCGCCGTTCCATTGGCCTTTGACAACTTTAGCACAGATGGAAAGTTATAATAAACGTTGCTTAATCTGTAGTAAGTATCAGCATTCAAATGATTTCAAAGATTGATAGGCTCGCGAAGTTATCTGATACCAATCCATAAACGGCAAACTTACTCATCCAATATTTATCTGATCATGGCATTTGTTTTTCACATCTTTCGCATAGTATTTATATTATTTGATCGTTCAATATATTTTAAAATTGAATTTTCATTATTCTTTATATTAATAATAATATTATTATAATAATCTGTTATATAAAAAGAATGATATTTTTTTCCATATGTCAATTTTGTTTTTTCATAAATATTACAAGTATTACATAAAATGTATGTACCATCTTTATTTCTAAATATAAAGACTGTTGTTATAATAATTATGAGACATCTTGTATTTTTAATCATCCTATGAAAAAATGTAATAATTATTGAACAAAATGGTTGTAATAAAAAAAATGAACATCTTTGTTGAAGTAGATAAATATTGATATATTAACTTGATAATGTTTGATTTTAACTAATTCTAAATCAAAATCTTTTTTATATATTTTCCTATATTAACTTCATTTTTATCTACATCAAAGAAAGCAACAAAGGATTAATATTTAAGTATTAACGATGGATGTGTCAATTATATTATTTATATTCTTATTATTTGTTGTAAATAGTGTTGCAAATTCTGATTAAGTTGTAAATTCACATTTTTATTAGCTGTCATAATAATTATATCAAGGAGTTTCTTAGATTTAGTTTCATAATAATTTTGTTGGATAATTTCAGTCTTTTTTTAAAAAAAATTAGTAATGCATTCCTTCACTAAGTAATAAGGATTGTCATGTCAATTCTCTGCGAAAATTCAAATTTTATTTCAAAGGATATTTTTATGATAGCTAATTTATTATTTTAAGCAAGATGACTCGTAGATAGAAGGTTATTGATCAAACTAGAAGAAGTAAAAATAATATCTCATAAAACTGAATGTTATGAGAATAACAATATTGCCAAAGCAAGGAATAAAAATAATTATGAAACTATAAAAATAAATTATATAACATATTATAAAAAAAAAATCAACACGGTTCTTAATATAATCATAAATAAATAAAAAAAACAATATTTGGGTATAAAATTTTGAATTTGATTTGATTAGCTGTCAACATCACCATCTACTATTTAAAAAAATTATTAATTTATTTTAACATCATAAAAATAAATAAAGTAGGTAATAAGTTATATTCTCACCTTAATTTTAATGATGAACTAAAAATATCTAAGCAAACTTATTGAGAATCAATAAATAAAATTAGTTATTATCAATTATTTTATAAAATTTATACAAAATAATATAAAATGCAATACCTTCATTAGTATTTCAGGAAAAAAAAATTTCACTTATAGTCAAATTCAATTTGTAATTATTAGAAAAATCCAGTCATACGTTTATTTCTTATTTGCTAACATAATACTAATTTTGATATAGTTTGAGATTTAACAAAAGTTTGGTTTTGTATTGTACATACCAAAGCTCAAAACTTGTAGCATACTCTCATACTCTCAGACAGCTGTAATACAGTGTATGATTGATAAAGAAATTGCAGTAATGAGATTAGAGTACAAATTAATAGTAGATAATAGAATATGGTCGACCAGAAGGATATGGAACGTTAAAAGTATTGGATTATGGAGATGGTTAAAATGGTTGATGATAAAATTAGAATGGGATTTGGTTTTTTATAAAGTTAAAGGTCATTCGGGTATTTTAGGAAATGAATTGGCTGATAGTTTGAGTAAAGTTGCGTTAATGATGAAAGAAGATAGAAATTTGATTATAATAAAGTTGAATCAGGAGATAGACTGGAAATATAATTTATATTGGGAAAAGGAATTAATTAAAGAGGCGCCAAGGGAGTTTTATAAATTATATAATCAATGGAGTTATAAAGCAGAATTTTTATTTTTAGACGTGTGTCGATATTATAGATTCAATAATTCGATAGAAAAGATTGACTGGGTTCGTTCAATCAGAATTATTATGAAAGCTTTTAATGAAGAAAATACAGATTGGAATAATTCTGATAATGCTTATAATATTAAAAATTTTCTGGAAATTTTACATTATTAAATAAACGTAATCCAGAATCATATCAAAGTGGGAGATGTATACGTTGTAATTATACAATTGAAACATGGACACATATTTGGATATGTAGTCAGGCAGATACATCTATTATTCAAATAATTAATGAAGCTTTTGAATCTTTAAAAGCTAAGTTAAATGAGAAGGATTTTAGGATTTATTATAATTATCATGCACGTCTATTGCACATTTTGAATGAAAAGTCGAAAGTGGTATTTAATGGTTGAATTTTTCATGAAGCTATTAAAGGAATAGTTAACAAAAGGTTGTTTCTAGAGATAGAGGATAAAATTTTTAAAGACGCTATAGCAAGTTTTGTAGAGGATATACATGATATGGCTAGAAAATTCATGTGGAGTGAACGATGTAAAAGTTTTAATGAATGAGAATTAAGGCAGGGCATAACGAAACAGATGAAAAAAGTGAGTAAATTACATCAATCTTTGTTACCTCGTTTGGGACATGATGAGAAAAAATTGAAAACTCTTTATTTATGATGCTTTATAAAGATGGACAGGGTATTATATCAATAACGATATAGTAGCTAAAAGTATCTGGTATGAAATAGGTACAGAAGATTTGTGGAAATATTACACTTTAGTTACGTTTAGATCTTCTAATTATGCTTCTAATTTTAGTATTTAGATTAATTTTATTAGTATAGTTTTTTTTTAGATAGATGCTTTATTAACAGATGTTTACGTCTATATTATAATAGGTTGTTTTTATATAATTCAGTTATTATAATAAAAAAAAAATGAGATTAGAGTTGCGGTTGCACTATTACAAATATCATGATTATATAAGCTAGTGTATTTTGTCTTTATAATAGATTTTTTTAAAGCAAATTATTTTATATTTAAGCCTCATTAAAAATCTCTTGATTATTTATTAGGATAATTATGATTGCAAGATGTTAATATAATTCAAAGTCAGCTAAATTATGTAATGCATGTGCTTTCTTTTCTTTATTTACTATTTTGTAATAGGCATAACAGAGGATAATAAGAATTTTAATTTTCTATTTATTTTATTTCCTTTCCAAAGTAATTCTAAGCATTCTTTCCTTATTTCAAGACAAAATTTATAATATTTCTTTATTTAATGAATGTAATTTATATTTTAATGCTAATTTTTTATCATATACTAACATACTATGATTAAAAATAATGACAGTATTAAAATTGAAAAAAGTAATAAACTTATAAATATTATCAGTATTATTAGAATAAAAAACAATGATAAAATTTTTTGAACAAATTACATACCTAGTCAATAGCCTATAATAGTAAGTCTAAAATTATTTATGCTAATTCAAATTTATGAAATGAAAATCAATTATAGTTATTGACAAGATTCAACAAGAAGAAACTAATCTATCAAGAAATCCGAGAGAATCTATTGTACTTAAAATAAAATATTAATAAAGCCACATCATGTATAAATTTTTTTAACAAGTACATCAATATGATAATATCTTTAAATAAAGCATATTAGCAAATTTATGTTGGTGAATTAATATCAAAGATAAAATGATTTATATATACTATATATATCAGATATATTCGTTTGACTTGTTTGATTCAAAACATTTACAATATATAAATGGTTAATAAATAACTCATATCATATAAAAGAAATTTCTTATCACATCAAAAATGTTTAATGATCTTTTATTGAAGCCTCTTGATGAAAAAACAAAAGTATATAAATATAGTTATAATTTAATAAAAAAAAAAAATTCTCCAAATTCCTAAGACTACAAACTTTCTTTTTGTTAAAAAAATGAGTACTATAATGTTCAATAAATCCTAGAATATATGTTCATCTCAATGAATTAATTGCAATTGATCAAGAACTGAACAGTAATCTATTAATTATTCTGCTGCTAAATTTTTTAATTCTTTTTCTTCTTGCTTTAATTCTAATTTCAATTCATCCAAATTTCTTCTTAATGTATTTATATCTTCTGCCATCATATTAGAACTTAATTGGGTTACAGTTCCTTCCTTAGAATTAGTAGCAATTTTAAAAATTTTGTATTTATCAAGATTGAAATTATTCAACTTAAGAATATTTTCAATTGTGAGGCTAACATCCAATTCTTTATTTTTTTGAACAACATACTTTAAGGAATAATAATTTTTGTTTAGCTGTAATACTTCATCATTATATTTTATGAGAATACTTTGAAATTTATTAGTATATTTATCAGTCAATGTAGAGATTTTCATATCTCTGGTAGAACCAATAGTATTTCTTACTTCATTAATAGAACTTTCTAATTGATTAAAACAATCTTGCAGTTTTTCAATAGCTTCTTCCCGTAAAGTTAGAAAATTACCCTTGGCCTTTAGAAAATTATTAACTTGATTGAGAATCTGTTTTTTCCTATTAGCATAATAAGAAGCTGAAGTTGTTAATAATTCTTGTTGAAGTTCATCTATCACTTTTTGTTTAGCTTTTTTTTCTTTATGAATTTCCTTAGTATCTTCTCCACTAGTCAATTTACTTACTAACTTCTCTTTAATTTTGGTCAATTCTTTTTCTTTGTCTTTTAACTTTTTAATACGCTCATAATTAAGATTAATCAATTTTTGTTCAAATTCACTTATTTTAACTTCTTTCATCTCAAAAGCTTGGGTTAATTGCATTTTGATTTGTTCTTCAATATATAATTTTTGTTCCAATTGTGCAATTTCTTTTTTCAACTCAGCTTTTTCTTTTTCTACCTTAGCCTTTTCATTTTCCAACTTAGCTTTTTCTTTTTCCAACTCAGCTTTTTCTTTTTCCAACTCAGCTTTTTCTTTTTCCAACTCAGCTTTTTCTTTTTCCAACTCAACTTTTTCTTTTTCTGACTTGGCTTTCAATTTAATAGTAACCTTGTAATCTTGTGATAGGCCATCTAACCTATTGCACAACTTTTCATAATTAGCCTGAGATTGACTTAGTTTAGATTCTAATTTTTGAATATTATCTTCTGTTTGAGTTAATTTTTCTTCCAAACAATTTTTATCTTGCATTAACTGGTCAATTTGATTTTGAACTTGATGGCTAGCAAGTTTATTTTGATCCAATTGTTCAGTTAAATCCTCAGCCAAAGCTTGTCTTTCATTTTGCAGGTAAGTAATTTGGGGTTGTAAAGTATTTTCTTTTTCTGCAGATATTTTAAGTTGTACAGCCAAGTCAAGTCTCAAATTTTGGTTATCTTTCTCAAATTGAGAATTTCCTTGTTGTAACTTAACTAACTCATTTTCTAGCTTAAGATTTTTTTCTTCTATTTGTTTATGATCAATTTGAGATTGAATTAATTTATTTTTAAATTGATCTTGCTGAGACTGTAATTCTTGAATGTTAACTTTTGATTGAGCTAACTCATTTTGCAGATTGTTTTTTTCTTGATTTAATTGACTGATTTGTTTTAACTGTTCAGTTAAATTGTTAGCTAAAGCTTGCTTTTCATTTTGCAAATAAATAATTTGGGTTTGTAAGGTATTTTTTTTTTCTGCAAATTCTTTATTTTGTACAGTTAAATTATAGTTTAAACTTTGATTATCTTGTTCAAATTTTGAATTCCTCTGTTGTAATGAAATTAGCTAATTCCATTTGCATATTCTGATATGCTAATCGATTTTCTTTTAACTCATTTAGAGAACTTTGATAATAAGTTTCTGCAATTTTTTCTAATTTAAGAAGTTTCTGCTCAGCATCCCCAACTTTTTGTTTCAATTTAAGTGATTCCAATTCTTGAAATTCCTCTAGAATTTTATTTAATTCTTTACTAGTAAAATCAAGTAAATGACTTGTATAGCATGCTTGTGGATGAGATTCTACAATATGGTTATTATGCTCAATTGGTGCATTTATAAATTCCGTAATATTGCTTTTTGATTCTTCATTGATATTTCCAGAACGGAATATCCAACTTTTAATAATATTTAAAACCTGTAATGTAGATGGTCTTTTTAATGGATCTTCATCCCAACATTTTTTCATCAAATCCACATAACATTGTGGAGTATTTTCAATAATTTTAGGACGTTTACCTTTACAAATACTTAAAGCAAGTTGAAGATTATGTGCTTTATCATTAAATGGTGGAATTCCAGATGTAAATTCCCACATAATCATAGAAAAACTATATATATCACTTGTTTGAGTATAAGGTTGACCACTTAAAATTTCAGGTGCCATAAATGGTATAATACAATAAATATTATTTTCTTTTAAAAACAATTTTGCAAGTTGATATAATCCTAAATAATCACTAATATAAATTCCATATATATTTTCTTTATATTTGTTACATAAAATATTACCATCATGAAAGTTATAATGAATAAGACCTTTTTCATGAATATCATTGAGACCAACAATAATAATATACAAATAAAATAATTTTTTTTCCCAATTATTTGCTATTTCTGTTAGGCATCCTCTTAAATTACCCTTATTTGTATATTCCATTATTAATACATAATTCAAAATATCTGGATTTTTTGTAAATCCATATATATTCAAAGTATTTGGTTTTTTGTAAATCCATAAATCTTAATAATTTTATTTGAATCAATTATTTGCCACTATAAAAAATAATATTTAGCAAATAAGTATAAATAAATTATAATTAAATTAAAAAAAAATATTATTTATTCATACTTCATTTAAAAATTCTTTTAAACTTTCATCTGAATTATTAAGATAGTCAAAATGTTTAAGGATTACTTCATAATCTTTATCTTCAATCTTACATATAGCTTTATATATAGTACCAAATCCTCCTTTATTAAGATATTCAATGTTTTTAAATTTATTATAAGGAATCCATTTTAATTTATTTTCAGAAATAAATTGATCCACAATTTTACTTCCACTAGTACCAAATCTTTAAATACAAAAAAATGAAATTAAATTAAAATTTAAAATAATTAAAAATTTAATATTGAATAATATTAATTATACTTACTCTAAATAAAATTATAAAATTTTAATACAATAAATAATTGATTTTAATTCTTATATAAATAACATATAATAACTGATAACTTACCAACTAAGATAGTTTAACAAAATTTTTTAAGAAGATTTAATTAAATTATAAGTAAAATTATATAATTATAATAAATTAAATGCAATTAAAAAATTTAATATATACTTACAAGCTAAAATATTTTAGTAAATAAAGAATTTAGTTAGTTTAAATTATTATGTAAATATTATATAAATGTAATAAATTACTCACGATCTAAAATATTTGAAATAAAGAATTTAATTAGTTTAAATCATATACAAATATTATATAAATATAATAGAATTACTAACCCCCTATATTATTAAATAAAGAATTTTTTAAATAAAGAATTTATTAGTTTAAATTATATGTAAATATTATATAAATATAATAAATTACTTACGATCTAAAATATTTGAATAATTTTTTAAATAAAGAATTTAGTTAGTTTTGAATTATATGTAAATATTATATAAATATAATAGAATTAAATAAATAATATATAACTTACCAACTAAAAAAAAAATATTTGAAATAAATAATTTATTTTAGTTTAAATTAATTGCAATTAATATAATAGAATTAAATAAATAATATATAACTTACCAACTAAAAAAAAAATATTTGAAATAAATAATTTATTTTAGTTTAAATTAATTGCAATTAATATAATAGAATTAAATAAATAACTTACTCCCTATATTATTATTTTTAAATAAAGAATTTAGTTAGTTTAAATTATATGTAAATATTATTATTGATATAAATATAATAAATTACTTACAATCTACAATATTTGAATGATTTTTAAATAAAGAATTTAGTTAGTTTAAATTATATGTAAATATTATATAGTTTTTTACTTCAAATCACTGGGGTAATCATCACCCCAGTGATAGTTAGAAAAATTCTATTATATAAATATAATAGAATTAAATAAATAACTTACTCCCTATATTATTAAGTAAATAATTTTTTAAACAAAGAAGTTAGTTTAAATTATATGTAAATATTATACAAATATAATAGAATTAAATAAATAATGTATAACTTACTAGCTAAAAAAAAAATTTGAATAATTTTTTTAACAAAGAATTTAGTTAATTTAAATTATATGTAAATATTATATAAATATAATAGAATTAAATAAATAATGTATAGCTTACCAACTAAAAAAAATATTTGAATAGATTTTTTAAACAAAGAATTTAGTTAGTTTAAATTATACATAAATATTATATAAATAAGATAAATTACTTACAATCTATAATATTTGAATAATTTTTAAATAAAGAATTTAGTTAGTTTAAATTATATGTAAATATTATACAAATATAATACAATTAAATAAATAACTTACTCCCTATATTATTAAATAAATAATTTTTTAAAATTAGTTTAAATTATATGTAAATATTATTATTAAAACAAATATAATAAATTACTTACAATCTAGAATATTTGATTGATTTTTAAAAGTTAGTTAAATTAAATGTAAATATAATAGAATTAAATAAATAATGTATAACTTACCAACTAAAGAAATATAATTTTTCAAATAAAGAATTTAATTAGTTTAAATTATATATTATATGTAAATATTATATAAATATAGTAAACTACTTACGATCTAAAATATTTGAAATAAAGAATTTAATCAGTTTAAATTATATGTAAATATTATATAAATATAATAAATAATGTATAACTTACAAACTAAAATTGAATAATTTTTTTAAATAAAGAATTTAGTTAGTTCAAATTGTATGTAAATATTATATAAATATGATAAATTACTTACGATCTAATATATTTGAATAATTTTTTAAATAAAGAATTTAGTTAGTTTAAATTATATGTAAATATTATATAAATATAATAAAATACTTACGATCTAAAATATTTGAATAATTTTTTAAATAAAGAATTTAATCAGTTTAAATTATATGTAAATATTACATAAATATAATAAATTACTACTTACGATCTAAAATATTTGAATAATTTTTTAAAATAAATTTAATTAGTTTAAATTATATGTAAATATTATATAAACATAATAAATTACTTACAATCTAATAATTTTTAAATAAAGAATTTAGTTAGTATAAATTATATGTAAATATTATATAAATATAATAGAATTAAATAAATAACTTACTCTCTGTATTATTAAATAATTAATTTTGTAAATAAAAAATTTAGTTCAAATTGCATGTAAATATTATATAATATGATAGATTTAAATAAATAATGTATAACTTACCAACTAAAATAAAATATTTGAAAATAAAGAATTTAATTAGTTTAAATCATATGTAAATATTATATAAATATAATAAAAACTTACTCTCTATATTATTAAATAATTAATTTTTTAAATAAAGAATTTAGTTAGT